TCACCACAAATATGAATACAGAAACAAATAAATAAATTGTTATCTCTGCATCAATCCAAACTTTCTACATAATTAAAGCAATGCTTGAAGATTGAGATTGATTTCAAGGAAGAAATTAAAAAGAATTATGTAGTGAGGAGAAAGCATTAGCAAATCAAATAAACTTCACCTTGATGCCGGGCTTAAGGTGATTATGCCATCTTTCTCTGCACTGCTTCCCAATCCTACCACACAACTTCTTTGCAATCTGAGACCACTTTCTAAATCCATGCTCTTTCACTAATCTCACCAATAAACTGCAACAATCACAAAATCAATACCACTTAATTGACAAATTATTTACCATAATTCTACTAAAAATAATATATCGTATGACTGTTTTCGTTAGTTCGCTATCTGCATGTTTATGCCAAATAAAAAAAATTGGTATTTGGCAGAGGCCCAAATACCAATTTCCCATACGCTAGCCCCTATGATGAGAGCCCGCGTCATGTGTCTAAATATTCGACTTATGCCAAATAAAGAAAATTGGTATTTGGCAGAGGCCTAAATACCGATTTCCCATGCGCTAGCCCCTATGATGAGAGCCCGCGTTATGTGCCTAAATATTCGAGAACCCAGCTCCATTGGGATCGAACCCATGACCTAAGAGAACTTACAGTAAACCCCGCCATGTATTTGTGGTATATCTAACATCTAAAGTTTTATTTTTTTTAATACATACAACCTTGATACATTCGAATCGAAATATTTGAATGTTATAAACATGAAAGTGAAAATTAAAATTCAGTTGTTAGACACGTAAATTAATAAGAATTGAAGGAACAAAACAAAATAACTACTTGTCTTCCTCCACAGTCCATTGCCCTCTCACTGAAGCACGGCTGGTCAAAACTGAAGAAACCGTGTTGGCCTTCATCAGAGATTGATTTCTGTCATTCTGTTCCCACAGAAATCTGTGCACTGGCGATATTGGCATGGGAGCTTGAAAAGGTTATAGCTTTAGCACAAACAAAGGAGGAGAAGGTGACAGAATTGGAATTGTTGAGGTTATTTAGCAGTTGCTGGAGATGCGTTACAGGATTAATTGGAGGGAGTGATTAGCTGAGGTAACTCAGCCATTAAGTTCGTCTAATGAACGTTGTTACTTGAAAACTTTTTTTAATTTAACGTATTCCGTAAAGTTCCTATTTGTGAGCCTTAAATTTCATGAGTTATTGTGCTGCTGCTTTTTGGAAAGGAAAAATTTACTGAATTATTCCATAAGAAATAATAGGTAAGAATACCATAATGTTTAGAAGGAATTTGATTTTGCAGAGAGACATTTTATTGTGTCAGCACATTTGTGTCGGAACAAAATCTTGTGAAGCCTGTCTGGGTGGCATGTGCTCAACGAGATACAACATCTATACGGATCTTAACATCTAAAAAATATGTGCATCTCAGCTAATTGGCAAGTTGAGGTAGGGGTGTACCCCTTCTCTCAAATTTGTGATCACAATAAAGGATGGGGCATTTGTAACTCTCAAAAAAATTCAATTTTGCTCTAATCGTAGAGAGAATATTGCATCCCATGTTTGGAGTCCAGAGGGCGCACGTCGGGACTGCCAATCAGTAACGGTCAATCACGGGGTGTCATTTCATTTTACATCACATTTTTTTAGTGACGTGATGTCCTATGAGTGGTCATTTGGATATGATGACATAATATTTTTCTCTTAATGGTGACCTTGAGGACACACTTTTCTTCTAACCTTGACCCATCCCTTCTATCAACATCAGCAACAATCTTGCATCGTTCCTTCTCTTTCGTCTCATATATATTAATATATATATTGAGTGAGCAACCCAATCATATGAAATCTCCAACAGCTCGAAATCTCCAACAAAGAAGTCGACGAAGCATCTCGAAACCTCCAACAGCTCACCATCAATTTATCTCCCGTAAAACCTTGCAATCTCATGTTAGAGTTTGATGCCTACTTTCTTCTTCTCCAATGACTTTCTTCACAATCGAAATTTTCTGTTTTTGTCATACACTATTGAAAATGTCGGATTGTGGATGATTTTTAATTTTCTTTATCTATAAATTTCTGCTTAAAATTTGCGTTTTAAATCTTACTTTTTAATTGTGGTTCTTTTCTCTTTTTTTTTTAATTTTTTTAATTTTTGGAATCATAAGTAGAAGCCCTTTTGTCGTAAGGGTGAACTTAGGTTGTTAGACAGAGAGTATATCACCATAATTTGATGAACAACTCTCCTCGGACAAGGGGCCTCCATTATACGATTAGAAAGATATTATGTTGGGTTCCCTTTGGTCATTTTTATGAAGAGTTCTGAAATCAATTGAGAGAGCTAGTTGTAAATGACTTTCTTTCAGATTATGTGGGACATATTCTTTTGTTAGACTTGTGCATTGATTTTGTCGGTTAGTAATTCTCACTGAAACAAACGATGCTTGGCTCTTCCGCCCTTTGACAATTCTAATGCAATACTTTGGTGCTCATAAACGATATCCATTGTATCTCCTCGAGATACAAACACAAATATATATACATATAAATACATATAAATACATATAAATACATATATATATATATATATATATATATATA